TCGTGATTTTTTTCATGAAAAAAGTGTGCCTTTGCACAAAAAAGGTTGAAAAACACTGACATAGACAATAAAACTGAGCACTATGTTTTGGTTGTTAAGTGCATCTTACAAAGTACTTGGGGAAAAAATGGCAGCCATATATAATACAGATATCCTTAACTTACAACGGTTTCTTTAGTGACTGTTCAAAGTTACAAAGGCACTGAAAAAAGTTATGACCAGTTTTCACACTTCTGACCATTGTGGCATCCCCATGGTCACGGGGTGAAAATTCAGAGCCTTGGCAACTGATTCGTATTTATGATGTTTGCAGTGTGGGATCATGGGAATCGTCTTTTGTGACCTTCTGACAAGCAAAGTCAATAGGGAAGCTAGATTGACTTAACCGTGTTCCTGATACTAATAGTGCAGTGATTCACTTAACAAATGTGGCAAGAAAAGTTGTAAAACGGGACAAAACTCATTCTAAAAAAATGTCTCGGCAACAGAAATTCTGGGCTCAATTGTGATTGTAAGTTGAGGACTACCTGTATCAGACGACCTTATTTTGCAGGAGTAGCATACAATCACCAGAATGTTGTTATTATAAAAGTTCTAAGGTAGAGGGCAAAACTGAAAAAAAAAGTATGTGAGGTATGTGTATATAGTACAATAGTCTTATGTTTATGTATTACTTGGTTTCATTCCTGGATCAGCTTTCTTTCTTATTTTTCTTTTAGAGATATGTTTATCTCTGCCAGATCACTTATGTATATACATGATATATTCTTTTGTTGTGTAAATGGAAGAGGGAATAGTTAATGATTTAACAGAAGAGACTGCATGGTAACCTGAAGATTTTACACTCAAATAAATCTTTCAAGAAGTCTAGATAAGGTTATTGTGTTATCTGTTTTAAGTTCCAAAGTTTTTAGTATCTTCTTTATGGGAATTACTCTATCCTTATTCAAGGCCCAATGACCATCAAGCTTGCCCAATACCAAAGTCAGGGTATCTTATGTTGGGGCTTATACGTAACAAGGGTTCTAGGATGTTTGAAGTCTTCAAAAATAGAAGCTAATAGGAACGCAAGAAAGCTGGTAACACAACCCAATCAAAAGAGCACAGGCAAGCATGGAGCAAGAGAAGTCATAGGTATCTATGAAGGGGTGGATCAAATGCACTGTGTGATTCAGGTGCTTTGTGTTTCCCATCCATTATTTGCTTAGTTCATTATAATTTGTCACCAGGAGAATTAATATAGATTTCAGAATTCTCACTGCTTCTTTTCTTATACTTAGTTTTAAGTATTTTATTTAGGTATTTGTATTCTCCATTTCTGTCTCTATGTGACAACCAGACCAGGAAATTGTAAAATGGATAATAATTGCCATCTTCATCATGCCTGTTCAGGACACTGGTATGTTAAAAATAACAAACAAGTTTGTTTATGCATATATATTAGTCAAACATTTTCCACGTCCTTATCTGCAAAGCTGACGACAGTTTAACTCAAACTTTATAAAATGGCCTTTCTTTTGGGATATGTAAAAAAATAAATAACCCCAGAGGTTCTGTTTTCTGAAAGTGTTTAATCATATGATGTATTTACATTTTGAAACCATATCCTATATTCTATATTCATCAGTGATATAATCAGCCATGTTTGGCAAATATGTATAAATGGAAATGTACATTAAAAAAAGTTTGCTTATAAACAAAAGGCACAGACTTGCAAATATTAACCTTCAGCATATGGCATAGTCTCTGAAAAAGACAATGAGTAGGATGCTCTTATTTTTGATAGAAATATCAAAGGAAAACAATTTGAAATTGCTTAAAGGGAACTCTTTCAGTGTTTTGTATTATAGACTGATGGAGAATTGTTAGCAGATCATGTTATATATAATTCTATTGCCTATTTCTGTTTCTGTCTGTTATTAATAAGGGAAAAAAGCTATGGCTGCAAAGCTTGCTGATGGTAAGAATAAAAACAGAGAGCTTTATAGCTCTTGTTCAAATATGGAACTAACAGAGGACCATAAATTAAGTCCCATTTCAGAAATCTTACAATAAACTTCAAATAGATTGCAAAATTATTGAGTCTTTTTTTGTTTCATTCAGTAAAATTATATCTTGAGCAACATGAACAGCAATTGTCAAATTATAAGAATTTTATCTGTCCATCTGTTTTACCATTGAATAATCAAGAAAAAAACCCACTGCATTTGAAGTGAAAATATGAACATTATTTAATAACTGATCCTCTGTAATAAACAATTTGAAAATATTTTACAAGGAATCACACACACAATATTTTACAAAGATTTTAGTCTTTTTTAAAATTGTTCAACTCTTCTGTACAAAACAAAATTAATGTAACAAAAAATGAATTATTGGAAGAAAGCTTTTTAAGTGAAGAATGATAGGAATAGGATTCAAGCAGCTATAAGAAGAGCAACTTGACATTTTATTTTATTTTCTTAACTTAAAATATAATATATATTTATAGATATGTATATTTTTCATTTTTTTCTCAGATGAGCAGCACCCAACTAGACTACAGATTTACATACACTCCTGGTAACACAGCCAGCCATCTGGTCAAAGCACAGTTCCCATATACATAACCAAACACACACTAAAAAGCTACAAGCAAAATGACCTTTAACTTTGTCATTATCAGTGAATCGCCTCTTTGTCCCTTGACTTTGGAATCAAATTTTCAAGATCTTGTCAAGATCATAGATCTCCCTTTTCCTACCTCTTTACCCTGCCACATATTTTGTCCAAACAGATTTTAAAAGGAATTAGGCATGTTAGGTGGTTTGAAAAATGACTACATTTTCACCTCTGCTAATATGTCTTTATATGAAGAAATCAGCACATAGAGCTAATGGAATTTATTTTTACACAGTCCTTTACTTTTTCTAGAAAATAAGTTTCTAAATAGGATTGACAAGATCAAAATAAGAGTCCAAGCTCTCTAGAGATTTTTTTTTTGAAGATTCATTTTTCCTATTTCTCGGAATTCAGGAAATTGGCTTAATCCAAGTTCATAATTCTTTGCATGGTTAATAATTACATGAGATTTTCTTTGCTGACACTATCAAGTCAATTGAATAATCATTTTAATTCTTCCAGTCTCATCATATTTTACTTTTAAGAACTGTATTTTCTGTTTTAACAGCTTTGGATAATAATATCATTCTGTTTCTTGCTTGTTTTTTTCATACAGCCTGTGCAACTTCTGATTTCCTCAGGTGATTGAAGCAAAACAGTCATGCTCTTGGCTTCCTATTTCCCAACATATCTTCCCCTATCAATCAATATCAGCATCATCCATCATCAGTGGGGGAAAAAAAGACTGGAGGAAGACTTAATGACAATATACAAGTGATTCTGACTGGGACATAGCACCAACCATTCAGACTCTAAGATAAGCTGCAGATAACATAAATTATGTGAAATGAACATTCCAGTTCCTGTTTACACAACCATTTCAAAAGAGATTGGTTGTTGCCTAACTCAGCTTATATTTACATATACATCTGAAGAGCTCATTTTCAGAAGGCAAATTTTGCTACAATAGCAAGAAATGAGCAAATTATTTCTGTCCAGACCTGCACATATTGCAACATGATTGGCTCATGCACAAACATCGATCTCGCCCACCCCAATTTTCTCCAAAAATTGGAATCATCAACCTGGATTGAAAAATGGGCCATATTTTCATCTTCCAAATGCGGATTCTCTAACTCTGGAAAAGTTTGCTCAGAACTTTGCTTCCTTTTTGTATTAGTTGTGAAAAATGTGAGAAAGGATTACCATTGAACATATAGGTAAATAGCAGAACATTCTTTTCTAACCAGTGGTTTTTGCATATATCACAACTGAAGTAATTGGAGGCAGGGCAGCATTTCTCTGACATGGTACTCAGTGATTCCCTGACTGATAAATGAAGAGGCTGAATCATGTTTGATATGTAGTAATCAAGGCAATATCTACACTTTGCTAAGCTCAATATGTCTTCTGCTGTGGGGCCGTTTTTATGTTTCACTTCCAGTATTCTCCATTCTGCCATCTCCCTTCCCTTCTGAACTTGAGTCTAGAATCAACTAATGGTGAGGGAGCTATTTGGCTAGAATTGCACCCAGACATTAAAAAATGATGAGACTTTTACCAAGACTGAAGGTGAATGCACTCCAACTTAAGCTGAACAAATTATTTAGAAAGGATAATACTGTTCCATAAGTGGTCATCTACAGCTAGCTCTGTTATCAGCATTGTTCATATTTTCCTCTCCAAGAGCTTTGCTTGCCCAGAGAAACACTCGTTCTGAAAGTTGAGAGTCATGATCTCTCATGACAACAGAGGTATATCAATTCAGTGATTTATCCAATCTGGACCAAGCTCAGGAGAAACCAATTCTATATGTTTGTAACAAAAGCTGCCTGGGCATAGCAGCCATTGGCTAGAACCTGGAATGCAACTAAATCAACTTTCCCCCTGTTGCCTCCAGATTTCTTGGCTTTTCAGACTTAGAACAGCTATTATTATTATTATTATTATTATTATTATTATTATTATTATTATTATTATTATTATTAAGATATGCATGATTGGAGTTTTAAAAATGTATTTTAAAGCAAGCAATTCTAAAGCTAGGATGAAAAAGAAAGAAGCCAGAGGACCCAAGCAGTGCTTTAATTTGCGACATAAATGCCCTCTTAAAATAAGGATATCTGGAAACAGACTCACCTCAAGGAAGGAAAAAACAACAACCCCATAGAATTACAAGAGATACTTGCACCATTGTGAATCACTTAAGGTATGTTTTTTAAATCTGTCTTTGGTTATTACATACATAAACACATCTGTATGTATATGTATGTAAACAACTAAATGTGCTTCATTGTGACTATAAAATTTCATTGGGTATGTTAAAACAAAACAAAACAACCCCAACATCTTGGAAGGCATCGGCCAAAAGTCAAAGATGAAATGAATACCAATTCAACCCCATCAAATTTTAGTTTTGAGCTTCGATAATTGAGCAAGAACAAAGAGTCTTGTGGCTGACCGAGAGGTATGTCATGGCCACTAATGGCAAAGTATTCAAAAGCAGGGAAAGGCCATGTTATCCAATCAGCTTCTTGTATGAATGAGAAGCACTTCAGGTCCAATATCATTTCTGTGTATGCTTTTTTGTGCTCTAAGTTTTTCCTTCTCTGAATATCTGTTGCTGATGAATATATACTGGCTCCAGAGCACTAGCCAAACAGTCACAGACAAAGTGGCATAAGGAAGACAAGAGGTTTTACTCAGACTAACGTGGAATCAATTTGGGGGTTTTCAGCAAGCACACTGTAGACAGTTGCCCACATCACAAAACAATCACACAATTTGGCACAATTTTGTAGTTTCTGCTCAGAAGAGACCAGGGAGATTCTTAGAGTTTATTCACAACCAGTACAATTGATTATCACTGGTAGTATACCCAAAGAATAATGGTGCTATCTTTACCATACATCAGAATTAGCTAGATTTATAACAGTTATGTAGTTAGTTATGTATAATCTCCTAGTTTGCTTCTGTAGAAATCTATACAAAGCCAATGAAGCAGAACTACTATCCTTAGCACCAGTGCAATTGTTGTGTATATAAGCAATCTGGGGGGAAAAATGTAGACTTGGAAGGGGAAGTCTTTTTACTTGAAAACAAGGATTCACTTACGGGAGAGTTATATGCACACAAAGGAATTTGAACGAAGTTAGCTTTTGAGAGATTAAGAATTTCCTAGTCTCAAGAGCAAAGTTTACTGAAAAGTAAGCAAGTGCACCCTTGGTTCTACTTCCAGATTTGTCAAGTATTTTTTTCTACAATAGGTCCAAGCACCACACGTTTGCACTTTGCAGCCCTAATTATTACAGCAATATTATGCTTTCGACTCTTTAGATTATATTATGAGGACCACAGGAATCTTATTTCTAAGAACATCAGTAAATAATTTTGTCTGATATGCCTCCAGTATTGGCTGAGGAATGGGTTGCATTCAACAATTGTATACCTTCCAAGCTGCACTATTGTTTGCAATTAAACTGGTGAGCCACTGTAAATGGCAGAGGCTGAATTAACATGTAAGTTGTGAGATCAGGAGGCTTTTCTCAAAAATTGTGGTTTAGTACTAAATCACGACACTAAGACCACAGAATGTTTGATTCAAACGTAATCTGAAGTTGTTAATCAAAGTGGGTTGTCTTCCTCTTTAGAAATCTTCAGGTTGAAGTAGTTTGCTTTCCAGATTTTCTTGTAACAAAGCAAATGAAATTCATAGCACTTGAATCATTCATAACAGGTGGCATATTTGTATTAAAAGAAGTTTGGATTAAAGAACTGAGCATATGAAGTTGAAATGAGTGCATCACTGGGTATAATATTTTAGCAGGCTTTTGTAACTGCAATCACCCTTGTGCCAGAGGAGGGGAAAACCATGCAGTTCCTGGTGTGGCAACCAAGAGTTTCTCCCTGATGAAGTTGCATCATACTGTTTTGCGGTTCCCCATATTGTCCAGAAGGTTCTGGCTCTCCTACAACATCAAGCAGGAACAAAACAAAACAAAATGGAATTCTTCTCACTTTGCTGACTATTTCAAGTGTAGAGGCAGTGCAGTGGGGTATATTTGGCTGATGAGAAGGATCTTCTGGAATTGTCAGGGGACTGCAGGCATTTTCATTTCATAATGTGTAGCAAGGTATATTTGTTGCCATATGTGCACTAGTAAATAGGCACAAAGACCAGTAACCTGCTCAAGACAAATCTTCAAAAAACAGGCTTTTTTTTTAAAAGGATGCCACTTGATGAATGATAGCATTAGACTTTCTTTTAATTCTTCAATTGTTGCAACCACTTAAAACAATTCCAGACATGAAATGTACGCTTGTAGGGTCATCAGAGGTACTTTGTGGGGTCTGAGCTTAGTGGCAGATATTTTAACAGCCATTATTGTGAAGCAGAACATTTTCACTTCCCCAGAGCTCAAGTACGTGGGCATCCAAGACTGTGGTTAGGTTTCTGCACAAAGCCTATGAAGAAAAACTTTGGCTATCATCTTTATGGGTTGGTTTGGCACACAGTGCTGCCTCCACTAGGGTGGACAATATTCCTTAAAGTTTAGAAGAAAAGAAACTGAAGAAAAAAGACTTCATCTTTGTCTAAGCCATCTCAATAATTAGCTTATCTTAAAGATTGGATACTGCAGAGCTAGCAACTGAAGCCTTCATCATGATTTGGGGAGTAGACCAGCTCTTAAAATAGCTGATATTGGTTTTTTTTTCCTAATTGGAAAAAGTGGGGAAGCAGGGAAATAATTAACAGGAGCTGCTGGATTTAAACCATAATTTCATTCTATCTTGCTATTCATTTTTAAAAGATTGTCTCAGTTGCTGCATCCTCCAACCTTACATGGATTATTGGAATGGTATACAAAAGGATCTTCACACCCTCTTCTTTCTGCCCTGCTTGGTTTTCAAGTCCTCTTTAGAGAATAAGTAGTTTAAATGAATAATGCTGACCTTAACATTCAAGTAATATCCACTGCATTTGCGCATGTTTCTTTCTTGGCTGACAATAAATACTATAATCTCTCAGGGAAAGTGCTTCGTAATCAGATGTTGAAAGATCTAGATTAAATTGTTTAGGATGAAAATAATTCATCATTGATTGGAGATGGGATCCACCTATTGAAAGGCAGAGATAGCAGTGGCCTTGGAAAACTCATAGTAAATTGGGTGGAATGATATTGGGGTGATCTTGTAAGATTACTTTGAGTCTGAAAAGCTACTGGAATTGGCTGAAAGGTTTGCTAGGTTACAGAATCAATTTGGCAAGATGTCTCCATTTTTTTTCGGTTATAGTGATCGGTGTTGTTTCTGCAGTTTTCATTATTGGAATGGGAAGGTACGTTATTTCAGACAAAATAGTATCATCAGTATTGTTGATTAAATACTTTTAAAACCATAATAAAAGTCCTTCACAAGAGAACTGACAAAGTCTCCCAGAATTCCACAGATTCAATGGAAAAATAAAATCATGGGGCCATGTTCTTTGTATTTGGCCAACAGCTCAATGAGTGGAAAGGGGAACAATGAATCAAAGCTCAAGAATGCTCCCTGTGTGGAGAAGATCACGGTGGTCCATGCTTCCCCTTGTCATCTCAAAGCTCTCTTTAGCACAATCTGCTTGTACAGACACACTGGAAAGGCAAGGATTGATGGAGGAAAAGGATTTAAAAAAAAAAACCAAGAACAACTTCTGGATTTCTGAGTAAAGAAAGCAACAATCCTCATGAGTGAATGCCAAGGTGCAGCCAAAATTGATGGGACTAGGCAGAAGTCATCCTCTAGCAAGTCTGGAGGGGATGATGATGTGCATAAAATAAAAAGGATGGGTTAAGCTCAATGGGCGTTTCAAAGGCAAAATGCCAAGGGCAGCGAATGGTGACTTGCAGTCAAATAGAGAAGGAGTAACTGCAAGCATAACAAGATCTTCAAGGAAGGTCTAAAAGAGGCCCCTCTGCCGCAATCCGAAGTGTCTTCCTAGAGAAACAAGAGAGGAAGAGAAAGAGAGAGAGGTTTCTTTAAGGATACTTGCTTTTGCTGAAACTCGCTATATGTATTTTTAGATTTTGGGTTTTTTTTAAGCAAAATGTTCATGCAAATAAATTTGTGCATTATCCAAGGCCTTTTCTTCTCTATTTCTTGTTCTATTAGAACAGCTTTGAATATCTAGGATTCTGGAATAAACTTAGTTTCATAGATTCATTAGCGGGAAAAGATAAATTGTACTGATAAAGAACAAAGCACAATGAGGTTAAAAGGACATCCAGACCAATGTTAAGAAAAGTTAAAATTCATGCCATTTTTTTTGGCAGCATTTTATTTAAGAATTAATTTTCAGAGGTTCTTTCAATGGCCTTTTATCATGTATACACACAATAACTCATCAAAATTGCATTGGTTGCAGGCATTACTAAGCCTCTTGTCATGCATGCTTGTTTTGTCTTCTAGTCTATTATTTTCTTTAGAAAATAGAAAGAATTCACAAGCAGGAAAAAGAGAATAGCTGTATTAGTGGTTCAAGATAACCTTCATTCTGTCAGTTAAAAGTGAATATTTTCTAAAGGCAGAGGCACAATCAAATGTATTTAGAATGACTGGAACCAGCTTCTTTACAGCTTTTCCCTTTCATTTCCACCCTTTTCTTCATATATATATTGGGCGAACCGGTAGTAGTGGTGGCGGGAGGCTCCGCCCACCCGCCCAGAAGTGTCACATGTGGGCGGTAGTAAAAAAATTGGCCCACCACTGATGTGTGTGTGTATTTGCATTAGTTATCCTTCCTTTTACTTACAGTTATGTTATAATCAAAACAGACGCGGGGACCCTTTCGGTAACGTGGCTTCTCTACTAGCTCACATTGATTGCGATCTCCTGGAGGAGCTTTGCGTCATCAAGCAAACGAAGCAGAAGATAAAGAACATGTGAAGATAAAACGATAAAAAGAAGATAAAAACCAATGTGAATTAGAAGATTAAAAAATAGGGTTATTTTATTCTCTATGATAAAACAATATTTTTTTTTAAAAAAGATTAAAAAATAGAATACAAATACTAACAGTGCCAAGCTCTGAAATGTATTCAAACTGCTTTCATTTTCACTGTTTTGCAGCTTGCCGGCAGACCAGGGGGAAGGGAGAGAGAGACTGGAAGGTGCATTCCGGATGATAAGAAGAAATGGTCTTGTGAGAACCAAGGACATTTCAGCTGGTGTTCACCAGATCTTCCCACAACAACACCTGGACACCTAAGTGGACAATGTGACCTACACAAATGGGGGAGGGGGTTGGCAGGATTCTATACTTTAATTCTGCTGAGTTGCCTGGGAATTCCCTATAGTGGGTTTTGCTTCAGTCCGTGCCAAAATGATGTTTTCAATAAGACTTTGCATTAAGAGATTGGATCGTCTCAACAGTGCCTGCTTGTTTGGGTTCGTCAGTCGGAACCTTGACAAACACATTAAATTATCTCTAAATATTGAACTGCTATTCCAACCTAGTTCTTGTTTTACATTTTCAAATACCAGACAGTCCTACATTTGTGATTGGTTTTTGTTCTTCTTTACTCTCTTGTTTTTGTTTTCCTCTCTCTAAAATCTGTAGCTGTATCAATGTAAATGGTAGCTGGTGGGAGGAAAAAAATGTGAAAGTACTATTTTTGTAAAAATTCTCAATATCCACCATATTTAAATGGGCTCATATAGAAATAAAAAAATATCTAAACAAGGAGTAAATAACATCTACCAGGCACTAGATGGCCTCTTGTTTGACTCTCTGGCAGCTTGTCATACACACAAAAAAATGTAATGCATAAAAGTATATTGCTCAGCTGGTTGTTGGGTTGCCTTAACACAGGAATAGGAGAGCACTGGAAAATAGCAATAGCAATAGCATTTAGACTTACATACCGCTTTATAGTGCTTTACAGCCCTCCCGGGAGGAACCGGGGTGGTTGGGGGGACCATGGACATGGGAGTGGGTCGGAGCATAGTGGTCGTGACAGGGAGAGGCAGATACGGCGGGGACCTTAGGGCTGGCCATTACCGGGGAAGGAGGGTTCGCTACATTACAGAGATCCCTCCTTCCGGCCCTAGGAGTCCCACTCCAAGACCANTACTTTTGCAGTCCTACTCAGTATTTCCAGAAGTCAATTTTAAATTGCTTACTTTCTGAATTTTAAAAATCAAGTGGGTTTTTACATAGTCTCCTGGGTCAGAAGGAGTTATGCAGTGATGTTGCAGCTATTTACCTTGTCATTAGTATCACAGTCCATCTCACAGCTTGTGGAGAGGTCACACTGCAAACCAAAAAGAAAGGCAAGAAAATCTTAGCACTGATTTATTTAAATCCACATTATGTCTATAAATAATTCATAATCACTTTCTAACATTTCTATGGACTGATAAAAATAGAAAGGAAGGAAACATTTCCAAGAGAATTGCAGTGGTTACTTGCATTCTAGAACAGTAATGCTGTACTAAGTTATATATGAGGCATATTTCAATTCTATTTGGAAATATAATTTTTTTCTGGTTGTGTTTGCCACCTTTTAAGATGTGATTTGCTAAGTAAAATACACCTTACTAGTGTTAAAAGATCTTTACTGGTTCCAGTTAATGTGTAGCAAAATTCAGTTTTTGACCAATTAAATGACTTTAAATGAAGATATTTGAAAAAAACTCCATATAAACATGGGAAGAGATGATCCTCCAACCATATTTATGATGGTTGCAGGATCACAGGATTATGTGATCACCATCTGCGATCTTCCCAGCTGGCTTTTGACAAGCAAAGATTGTCTTAACGACCACGTCAGGGGTGGGTTCCCGCTGCCACTACTGCCGGTTCTCTCAGTGACATGCCGCATGCATGCATGTTTGATGTGTGCGCATGCACAGTGCACCAATTGCTCTGTGCAGGCGCGGAAGGCAAAACCAAGACAAAAACAAGAGAACCAGTTCAGGGGTGTGGCAAGCCTGGGTCACTGCCAGTTCCAACGACCCAGGCTGCCAAGTTACTACCGGTTTGGCTGAACCAGTCCAAACCGGTAGGAACCCACCTCTGGACCACATGATTCATTTATGTATAAATGGCAAGAAAAAAAATAGAGCAAGTAAATGAATTTGGCTGAAAATTAAGAAGAGGAAACAGAAAATTTATTAGTATTGGTGTACATTTTTCTACACCTGCGTTCCTCAAAATTTCTAGGTTGGTGGCCTGGCACGGGGGTGGGTGAGTGGGTGGGTGGGGCAGGGGAAGAGGAGATAGTTTTATGTGAGGGGCAGGAGAGCGAGTGGGGCTTCCAGCTGCAGCCACCCACTGCTCGCCTGAGTGGGGCTGCTCTCTCTGGTGCTCGATGTTTGCCAGGTGGGGCTACGCATGACACGCATATGCTGGCTTGCCACTCATGCCACCCAGTTGCAAATAGTCCATGGCCCAATAGTGGGCTATAGGCCACAGATTGGGGAGTTCTATTCTACACTATAGATTNTCTATCTATCTATCTATCTATCTATCTCTACTATCTATCCACCATCTATCATATCCATCCACCCATCCATCATCATATCCATCCATCCACCCATCCATCTTTGTCGCCCATCTTGTTGAGGATGGAGAAGGTCATTCCCTACTCCTGTAGTTATAAGGACTGAGCTGAAGAATCAGTGTCTTACAATGTTTACTAACAAGAGGGGCTCTTTGAACTAACCTAGAGCAATTTCCACAGTCAATGATGGTGTTGTAGGTATAGTTAACAGAACTAAAATAGTACTGGGTTTGCTTCATAATGCAGCTGGTCTCCTTGGATTCCATGTTGTCTGCTGAAACATCCTCTGTTTGGACACATAGCACACATAATGAGTCGCAAATAAAACCATGAAATTTAAAAAAAAATCTTCCCTACATCGTCTAAAAAGCAGTTCATCTGGCTGGATTGACTTTGTCAATTTGTGCTTATGCCAAATGCTACTTATAATAGGATGTACGGGGAATGTAGAAGAATGTACAGGGGAAAATTCAACAATTTATCTTATATTTCTCTTTTGCCTTACTATTTCTTTTTTCTCATCTACGTAGATATTTTTTATTTTATTGTAGAAGTATAACATTTTTATTTTTATGTAGATACGTATATTTTATTTTTATTGTAGAAGTATAACATTTCTCTGCTCAGTCTAGAGCAGCGTTTCTCAACCTTGGTAACTTGAATATATGTGGATTTCAACTCCCAGAATTCCTTAGCCAGCATGGGTCAATCTAGATAAGTTTTTTTTCTATCAACCTTGTTATTGCTTTTTTGTTCTGCCATCCTCTACTAATCTACATTAAAGCTTGATGTGTTCCCTTGCCCAACTAATCCACCTTGTGAAATTGACTTACATCTGCTATTTTTTCCCCACTGCAGAAGGTCAATTTAGCAACTTATTGATGGCTCCACTCATTTTTTTTGTCATGAGAGATCAGATTTATTGGAGTATGCTTTGGTGAAGATTTATGTGTGCAGAGTTTATGTTTGTGCCCCTAAAGCCCCCTGAAGCTGCACTCATAATAACTAGGTCACAATCTGCTTCTCACGTTTAAAGAAGCAAAGATGGGGGAAGCTTTTTAGAGACCCGAACCATTCAGTTGTAGCAAGCAAGCAATTTCAGTAACATATTCAGTCCCATAGTAATGAATGAGCAATTGGAAGTCAGATAACATTTAATTTTATTTTCACTTCCTATATTAATCCAGCTACAGGTAATTTATAATGCTTCCTCCTGCCACTTCATCTTTTGGGGGCTGAATTTTTTTTTTTCAAATAGGGATTGTTACCTGTTTGAAACCAGCTGTTATAGGCTAATCCATACAAGAACTGCTGAAATAGAGACCTTGTGGAAAGAAATAACAATCAGGTGACTGTAAAAGAAAACAACTGCATGTCACAACACAAAATAGGTTCCTTGAATTAATTTTTTTTGACATCTCCAAGTCGAAAACAAAAAAAGTGTGAAAATACGAAAAAATATTTGTAGATTTCTGGGGAAATGTAAAAAAAACACAATAAAATGACCATTTTAAATAATCCCACTAATATTTCGGTAACAGGTTGTGAGATCTATCCTAGAATGGTTCATATCCTAGAATGGTTCATGTGTTGTTATGTTCTATAGCTTATCTCATCAAGTACAAGAGAAGAGAAGAGAGAAGAGAAGAAAAGAAGAGTAGAGAAAAGAGAAACTCACCATGCAGCTGCTGAGCTCCACCAAGCAAGGTTCAAGAAATCTGCCATGGTTGGCTAAATATAAAGAAATAAAGAAGTATACTTTTAAACAGAACACAACTGTTACTAGGAAGGGAATGTAGTACTTGGGAAATCCAAGCCCAGTGAACTGCTGTTTCTTGTGTGTTAATGGTGTAAATACCAATCCCTAATTTTCTTTCATTAGTGCTGGGCTACTCCAAGTTTGAATTCCCTTGGATGATCAGAATGGCCAGTCTTGGTAAATATAGTAGGTGCCTATTTGAAGAGGACAACTATACAATCCAGATGTTATCCATGAGGCTTGTTACATCAGTGTTGCCCTTTTCTAACCACTATCAGTGCTTCATCACTTACACATTCACATGTATGGATTCTGGCTCTCATATAGTGCTAGACGTTTTGCTATATCTCTTCTGCAATGCTTCTCTTTGCCACCCCTCCCTTCTGGATTCCTGCAAGGTTATCAAATGCTTAATTAGTAAACCTGTAAATGACTCTTTTGTTTTACAGTGATCAGCCATGTCACTACATGTTTGTGTCCGGAAGGGCACTGTGGTGAAGCAACTTACTCTTAAAACAATTGAATAGAAGAATGGAGAAGGAGTAGCAATAGGATCACTTGTGCAACGTCTCATAAAATCAGAGAAGAACACAGGAAATTTTACCAGTGCCAAAAAAAGGGGACAGATGGAAGTTGGTTCTCCTGCCTAAAAAAAATACAGACTTGGCAGTTTGGCTTGGTCTACTAAGTTAATAAATCCATCCAAAAGCTAATAAAGTTAGTCTGGCACAATTTGTTTGTGACAAATATCCTTCTTTTAACTCAAGAGAGGAAGTAGCATGCATTCTTCCCTGCTGAATTTTTTTTTGTCATTCATAGAGATTTTTTTGGTCATTCATAGAGATGTTAAAGTTCTAGTTGTCTCAACTATCAGTTGAGACAAGTAGAACTTTAACATCTCTATGAATGTATCCTCCTCAGTCAAATGGAGTGGCTTCCGATGTATATTTTTAGAGGGGGAGAAGGTTACCTTCTTCTTCCCCCTTCACTGGCTATTTTATAAATTTAAATAACCTGCCGTTCAATGATGTGAGACATATTTACACCTGTATATGCAATGCTTCAATCCGGTAAGAGCTGATAGCATGGAATCCTGAC